CCCCAAAACCCCAAAACCCCAAAACCCCTTGGTATATATACTATGTAGAAATACACGTAAGATAATTACAATATTATTAATTATGAAGAAATCAAACTTTAGGCCAAATAGTCAAGAATTTGTACTCCTCTCAGTTGAGGGATACAAGAAGCTGGCTAACATCGATAGCTCATGCAAGAATTTGTACTGGACTACCGATATCAATACAGAGATTCCTATTAAGTACAATCTCAATGATGATAAAGGTCTAGTGTCTGTCACTCCAAAGACATTGCCACAGTGTCTTGTTGAAAATGTAAAGACACACAGAGACTGGCCAAGCATGCATGCAGAAGTAGCTAAGGACGAATGGACCCTCTGGACATGGGGAGATGTCTGGAAGATCAGTTTTAACTTTGCCAAATCTCTACTCGCTTTTGGTGTAACTCACAGATCAGCAGTCAACATCATCGGCTACAATCATCCAATGTGGATCTTTGCCTTCTATGGGACTATCATTGCTGATAATGTAGCTGTTGGTGTCTATATGACTAGTACTCCTCCAGCCTGTGAGTATGTGGCAGACCATAGCTCTTGTGAGCTTGTTGTTTGTGAAGACCTCAAGCAAGCTGAAAAATATCTCAGCATCATTGATAAACTGCCAAAGATCAAAGGAATCGTAATCTGGAGCATTCCTAAATTCGAAACTAGACCTCACTCACTCGTAATGGGCTGGGAAGAGTTTCTCAGTCTTGGATCCCAGGTTCAGGAAGACTCTGTAAGATATGTTGAGATCTTGCATGATAGGATGGAAAAGCAAGTTCCAGGGATGTGCTGCAATATCGTTTATACCAGCGGCACTACAGGAAATCCCAAAGGAGTCATGCTAACTCACGATACAATGTATTTCATGAGCAACAAGTACCTTAAGAGTTGGGATACAGAAGGTCTCGTTGATGGAAAAGAAAGAGTTGTCTCCTACCTTCCTCTCTCACATAGTGCAGCTCAGACTTATGACATAGGGTTCAATTATGTTGGCAAAGTCCAGCTATATTTCGCGAGGCCCTGCGCTCTGCAAGGCAGCTTAGTCGGTAAGCTTATGAGATTCATTAGAAAAGAACTTTGGACATAAATAAGTCCAGAGCATCTAGGGCTTAGATTTTGTCATTGATATTTCAAAACAATTTGAGATTTTATGATGTTAGAAATTAGCCTATCACATAAAATTATTAATAAGCAAGCCAATGATTAATTTAGAGAATCTTAATTTAACCAATCTTTTTTTAGACACTCTGAAGCATGCGAAGCCCACCATTTTCTGGGCTGCACCAAGAGTTTGGGAGAAATTGGAACTGAAATTGAAGGAGAAAGCACCAAAATCACCAACTCTGGTTCAGAAGCTCCCTAGTTGGGATAAGGAATCATATCCTGTGCAGGTACACCAAGCTTCCTCGAAGACTTCTGAATATCTGAGTGCTAATTTCACAGATGTGAGGGATATGCAATGAGAGATTGGACTCGAAGAGTCCAAGATCCTCATGGTGACCTCTGCACCAATGAAAACTTCAACTCTAGAGTTCTTCAAGTCCATTGACTTGCCAGTCATGAATGTCTATGGGATGAGCGAATGCAATGGCCCTGAGACCTCTGGCAAACCTTCTAGGTTTGCTGAAGGCTCAGTTGGCTTTCCTATTGAAGACACTCATATTAAGATCGACACTAGAAACAAGACCGCTGGCGGTCTTGAGAACGAGGGAGAGATCTGTTTCAGAGGCAGAAACAACTTTATCGGGTATCTTAACAACGAAGAGAAGACCAGGGAGACCCTTGACTCCAATGGCTACATTCACTCTGGAGACATTGGTACTTTTGAAGATGATGGCTTTGTGAGGATCACTGGCAGGATCAAAGAGCTCATTATTACTGCTGGTGGGGAGAACATAGCCCCTGTTTTGATTGAGGACTCATTTAAAAATATCTGCCCCATTGTGAGCAACATGATGGCAGTAGGAGACGGAAAGAAGTACCTCACAGCTTTGATTACTTTAAAGGTAGAAATTGATACTACTAATGGGAAGAATTTGCCGACTAAGAACCTCACACTTTTCGTAAAGACTTTCCTTGAGGAAGAGCTTGGAGTTACAGGAGTGGTGACAACAGAAGATGCTATTAAGAATAAGAAGGTCATGGAGTACCTTCAAAAAATGGTGGAAAAGAATAATAAAATGGCTGCTTCTAGGGCTCAAACTATTAAGAAGTTCAGGCTACTCCCCACTGATTTTAGTTTCGAGGGAGGAGAACTCACTCCTACTCTGAAGTTGAGGAGAGGACCAACTCTTGATAAATATGCAGAGGTGATTGATGAAATGTACATTGACCAGGACATGACTTCTAAAATTTAATTTTAAGTTTCAACTAACCATATTTTGTGAGGGGTTTTGGGGTTTTGGGGTTTTGGGGTTTTGGGGTTTTGGGG